TTTATTTCTTTCACCGTTATTTGAAAAGTTGCAAACACGTCTTTCTGCACAGATGGCTCTCTTTTCTATAAGTTGTTAGGTTGTGTTGCTTGGGAAAGCTTCTGTTAAAATTAAAGGGCTCATAGATGTTTACATATTTAGATTCACGTATAAAAATTTTTCTCAGCGTGATTAAATAAATACTTTTCTCTAAAAGTGATAATCTATGAGAGTTTTTTTTTTTTTTAACTGTATTTCAACTCAGTTTGGCAGGATGCCCTGAACTAGTAGACTGTCATCTTGTTGAGGAAGATGCTTAGAAGCTTTGCCTACAGGAGCCCTGTGGTTGTTCATTAGCCAATGCCTAAAGATAGAACGTGTTAAGGTATGCAAAAGGCATTCAATCGGTGATTTTTTTTTTAATGTCTTACCAGGAAAGGAAACATGAACAAGTCAACCTTTATGTCATTTTGAAGAATTGGGAGAAAATTACCCTAATATGTTTCCTTAATATTTTCTTCTTTAAATAGCTTTATTGAATAATTCTTAAAACAATGCTTTGCCTACCTGCTTCAGTAAACTTCCTCCTTCCCTCCCTTTCACTCTTAACTCCTTCCTTCTTTCCTTTATTCTCATTAAATATATTGAAGTCTATAGGATACCATTTTGGTCTCCTTTTGTAACAAACAATTTACAGAATATTAGTGCTGTGCAGTGATATTAGGGATAAAAGAGTCAATAAAACTATTAATTTAGGACACAAAATAAGTTTAGAATATTTTTTAAATATGAGAATCTATAAAGTCTCTCAGTATCGCCAAAGTATAAGGACATTATGTTTACTCGGGAAAGGATGACATGGCATCTTTTGCAATCTAGATAAGCCGAGGATTTTCTAAATCACCAACCTCTGGTTCCTTTTTGCTTAATAGTTAGTTCTTCCTTCAATCTCTGTTTCCTCTCACATTTTACAACAAGCAGCAAGAAGAACCCAGGCTATGCCTTCAGCACTTTGCTTAGAATTCTTCTCCTTAAATATCCAAATTTATTATTTTTGCTTCCAGCAGACTACAATTCAGCTTAGATCTGCCACTATATCATAAGGACATCCTTTCCTCTATTTCCAATAACTGTGGTTCCTCATTTCCATCTGTGTCCTCACCGGAAGCTCTTTTAACATTCCTATTTCTACCAGCATTCCCTCTGTGACATATTAAGAATTCTCTCAGGTGACATATATCTTCTCTACCATGGCTTCCAATTCTCTACTATGCTTCTATGTCTTTAGCAGAGTCAACATCCATATTCTTTCTTACAGTGCATTCAAAGCAACCTAGGCTTTTTAAAAATCACGCTCCACAGAATTCTTCCAGCCTTTGCCATTTCTCCATCCCAAAGCTACTTTCACATCATTAGGTATTCGTTACACCAGCACCCCACTTCCCAGTAACAAAATCTGTATTACTTGCCCATTGCTGCTGTAACAAATAACCATAAACTTAGTTATTTAAAACAACATGAATGTACGATCCCACATTTCTGGAGGTCAGAAATTTGAAACAAGCCTCATTGGAGTAAAATCAGAGTGTTGGCAGGGCTGTGTTCCTTTGTAGAGGCTCTAAGGGAGAATCGGTTTTCCAGCCTCATCGAGCTTCTAGAGGCTGCACACATCCCTTGGTAATTACCCACTTCCATCTTCAAAGCCAGCAATTACTGGTCAAGTCTTTCTCATACTGCATCACTCTCTCTCTCTCTCTGACTCTGACCCTGACCCCCTTGCATTTATCTTTCATTTATAAGAACCCTGTGATTACAATGGGCCCACATAGATAATCTGGAATAATTTCCCCGTCTTAAGGTCAGTTGATTAGCAATCCTAATTCTACGTGCAACTTTAATTCCCTCTTGCCACATGCCATGTAATATGATGTATTCACAGGTTTCTGGGGTGAGGTTATGGACATCTTTGGGCCACTCCATTTACTGCTAACAAATAGCATCCGTTCTGAGAAAATATAATGAAAAACATTTCTGTCACCATTAGAACCTCTTAAAATCCAAGCTTTTCATGAATGTCCTACCGGGACTAGAAATTTAGGGAGTCCAACCTCACATAGTCTGCTTTTCCCAATTAAAACTTCGCATTCCAAAAGAGACATTTTGGAATGCTAACATGGCCTCAATAGATACAAGTTATCAGTGTAAAATTGATCTAACTAGATGTATTTGAAACAAATTGAAAGCAAATACTCTTAAGAAGAGGAGGATAAAAGTTATGAAGAGGAAAAATGATAATGAAGTTTATTTTTTCTTTCTTGTGTTTGACAAGTTATCCCGATTTGACAAATAATACAATCAGTGATTTGTTTGCTAAAAAATAAAATTCTGCCCATGACACATAAGAAAAAAATATATAATAATGTATAATGGTCCCCTCACTTCCTCCCTCCTTCTGCATTGCTCTCTCCTCCTATCTCTCAATTCCTTTTGGTTTATGAACTTGTGGTTTTGGTTTATGAACTGGACCAAGAAGCCAGCAGTGATTGATCTATTAGCCCCATCACTGTATTTGAACTGATATCCTAGAAGAAAGACAGATGCTAGTTCTAAAAATCCCTAAAAATCCCTAGGTTTAAAGAGATTCATACAACCAGTTTCCAGATCTAGCATATTTAAATAGTTAATTGTAGATCAGTGTTTCTCAAACTTTAATATGCAGAAGAATCAATGGAGGATTTTGTTAAACGAATATTCTGAATCAGTAGGTTTGGGGTAAGGCCTGAGGTTCCATATTTCTGACAAGATCACAGGTCATGCTGATGCTGCTGATACAGGGACCATACTCTAAGTAGCAAGGAGTTAGATTATACCCTGGTTGACACTGTCATTTGCAAGTGTGTAAAGAATACACATTTGAATGATTTAGTATCGTTGTCAATTGTGAGTACAGGAATAACAAAACATCTTGAGAGGAAAAACTTGAGCTGTTTTGCCTGAGCCTACTAGTTACCTAGGATTGCTTAAGTCCTTGTTAAGATTTTTATTAAACTAGCATGACAACTTTTCTATTCTGAATAAAGTTGAGGCAAGCAGATTTTAACTTACACATCACCTGTAAGGCAGAAGAAAGGAACTGGAAGAAGATGAAATATTTCGGTCTTTACTTATCCACCCAATAATCATTCTACTGAATCTCTGTTAAGAACCATGTTCATTGCCAGACACCTAGGCTGCAAAGATTGCTTCCCTATGTGCAAAAGATTACCTCCCCAGTTCAAAAGTAGTCTCAATACTTTTTCAGGGTATATCAAATATCCAGATTGTTTTTCACAATCACCTTTTGATGATTCTGGTCATGCTTAACCCTAGATTGGTTGCTTTTCCCACATAGCTCTTTGCCTGATACTCGCAAAGAATGGGAGAAGGATGCAAGACCCTCTCTAGCTGAAAGTCTACCCTTGATAAGACTGAGTAACCCTTGGCAGAAATTACCGAGGTTACATGAAATATTTATCAAGCATTATAGTGTGGTGTAGAATTTGAGGATGGTAAAAGCAGAAATTAATAGCTTTAGCAAGTTACATTCCAGGACGAAAGGAATATTGGCAAAAGTAATGCTGGAAGAGGAAAACAAAACAAACAAAAAACAGGTTTTAAGTCTATGACCATGCCACCCAGAATGTGCTGGATCTTGTCTGATCTCAGATGCTAAGCAGGGCCAGACCTGGTTAGTACTTGGATGGGAGACCACCTAGGAAGACCAGGTGCTGTAGGCATGAAAACAAAACAAAACAAAACAGGTTTTATACAAGCCTGTAGTGTATGACAACTAGAGGACAGGCAAATGAGGTCATTTGGACTCAACTGATCTTTCCACGTTACCTCTATCATCTATCTATCCATCAATCATCTATCATCTATCTATCTATTTAATGTACTTTGAATCTCTATGAAATGGTACCACTTCCTGTTTCTTGAATATCCATGTCACAGCTTCACACCTCCATGCCTTTGATCACAAGTTTTCCTTGGACTGAAAACAAAACGAAACAAAAACAAACTTCTTTTATTTCTTCTTTTCCCAAATACGACCAACCTTTGAAGCCCTAACTCTAACTCTCCTTTTATCATGAAGTATTTCATCTGATCAAAAAAATATTTCTTCTGTGCATTCATATCATAAATTTATTTTAAAAAATAGTATGAGATTCTCTTTTAATTATGTTAATGGGTATTTCTTTATATTTTTTTCTTCTAAATTTTAAATTCTAGTTACTCTGAGGAGAGAATCCCTACTGACCTAAAAGAATACCATGGTTGAGAGTAGAAAAGTTTCAGAGGTGGCAGAACCAAAAATTGCAATCTTATAGGTATAAACTTTTGCCTGATATTAAAACAAAGCTTATTTAAATACCTTTTTATCCTAAATGTCTTCTTTTTTCCCCCAGCTATTCTGACTGATATTTGCCATGAGAAGAGCATAGCAGACAAGAGTAGGAGAAAACTTTGGAAATGTCTAAAATGGGATCAGAGTATATGTGATGGGTTTGGGGAGAAATACACTTTGTCTCAAAATTCCCAGGTTTGAAGAAGGATCACATAATAATTATGATTAATTGTGAATTCGCAAGGAAAAAAAGCATAATGAGATCTTTTTAAAAGTCAGAAAGATGACTCAAAAACAATATCAGGACTTATTTTTTGTGCTGGGATACACACACTTACACTTCCCCTTCCGCCTTCAAATAGAACTAAATGTACTGAACCAAGCAGAATCAAGACCTTACTGGAAAGAAGTAAATGCTCTACAACTACAGAATTGCATTTGCAAAGGAGTAGATGGGCTTTAAATCTGAAAACCAGGACAATGAAACCATCCGTGCAGTTATGTTTCCCAACAGAAATGTTGTAATTTTTAACTACGGAAAACTACAGTTTTTCCGGATTAGTGCCTAGTGAAGATTTTTTTTTTTTTAAGTAAGCCAAATTATCCATAAGTTCCCTCCCCCTTTTTTCCTTTCTCTTCCTTTGTCCCTGTCCCCTCTGCTCTGTCTCGAAAGTAACCGTGGGGCAGGCGATTGGGTAGTTGGAGGGCCCTGGACTTAGTTCCTCAGCCCTAGTCTGGGCTTAGTGGGTGGGACTCAGCACACGGCTAGTTGTCCAGAAACACGTTTCTCTGCAGTTTTCCTACACTTTTGCTGCATCAGACCCGAAGCAGAAAGCAAACAGCAGCTGTGGAGCTGCCCCAAGCGACCTACACCTGCAGGGGAAGGAGCGCCGCCAGCAGCTTGGAGACCCGGCCCTGAGTGACCTCACCATGGTGCGTTTTAGCCGCTACTTTCTTTTTCAGTCTTTCAGTGCAGGGAAGGGGAGGGGTTCTGAAAAGAAGTCGAGTGCAGTAGGAAAGAAACTGACTAGATCCTTTGGGGTCATCAGAAAGAAAGATACGGAGACACAGGGAGAGATTGCGACCAGAAAGCACCGAGCGTTTGAAGCGGCGCGGGAATCGGGTTCGCGAGGCACGTCGCGCCCCGCCCAGCCTGTTGAGCAGGTCTACAGGAGTGAGCGCAAGCGACCGCGTGTACGGTGGGTGCACTCGTGCAGGAACTGACAGGTGCCACCGCGGGGTCCCCTTTCCCGCTCACCGCCGCCCGCCCTTGACGCCCACTGTCTGCGTTCGCAGTGCGGATTTGCGAGGCGCGCCCTGGAGCTGCTGGAAATCCAGAAACGCAGGCCCGTGCTCCGCGAGGTCCCCGCGTAAGTGGTCGCTGAGTACCCACGCGGGTAAGGGCACCCCAGAGAGACGGTCCTTTTCTCCGCGCCCCTGTCCTGGGCTGGTCCTCCATCCTACCCTGGGAAGCCTTTCCTGCAGTCCCTGCTGCCCAGCCCCGGGGGCCGGGGCCCTGTTCCCACGCAGGGGAGGAGCAAGGGAGCAAAGGAGACGGCGCCCGGGGGCCGGGCGCAGGGCCCGGGGGACCTTCGACGCCGGAGG